AATGAGTCCGTCAGAGCAACCCTCAGTTTGTGAAACTGATATTTTTCTATGTCATTTCCTTTCCTTCCCTCTGAAGAAGTCGCTAAGCCTTTTCAGTGTTTATACCTGTAGAGAATAGACCAGAATGCATAAACTCCGTAAGAGCAGAATAAATTTTGTCATATAGATCTGCCACATTGCTAGCACTGAATTAAGTGCTCACTATACAGCAGCCATTAATAAACTGAAATTCTTTGAGGACAACTCTAAGTGATCTCAAACTGATAGAAACAGATGGTGTCTCACTATGTTGCCCAGGCAGGTCTCAAACTCCTGGCCACAAGCAATCCTTCCACCTCAGCCTCCCAAAGGGCTGGGATTACAAGCATGAACCACCATGCCCATCAAACAATTTTCCATCTCTTGATAGTAACACACTTTGATGCGGGTCCATTAACAGAGGTTTTTCGAGCTATAAGATTCTATGTTCAAATTCCAGCTCTGGCAATAATTAGTTATGTGACTCTAGCCAAGGGACTTAACCCCCTGAGTCTCAATTTCCACACGAATAAAACAATCAACCCTACCTACTGTTCTGGATTGTCACAAGGTTTAAGAACAGCAGACAATCTGGGCTCAGGAACTTTGCAGAAACTGAAAATGTCATTAGTCCCACATTAAAATGTACAAGTTATTTTAAGCAACAAAAACAAACACTAGAGTATTTGAATCGTTTGCTTAGAGGCAGAATCTATAGATTCAAATGAAGCATTTATAAACTACTCATTAGAATGAGACAAACCCAAGAATAAGAAAAAAGACATTTTCCATGGTGATCATTTCTGCCAGTTCCTAGGAATCTTCGACTGACCCCTCCCTATTCTTTTCTGCAACAAATTTAAACTTACGGCTGAAAAAATTAGAATGATTTTAGGATTATTACCAGCTATTTTGACTCCTTCTTCTCACCTATGCTGTAGGGCAAACTGGAAAAGTTAAAATCCATGAACCCTTCTTGCTATTTTAAAGTAGCACTGGGCCACTGATATTTCTTTCCCACCACCTGCCTTTGAACGGTCCTTATCCTCCAAACTTCTCTACACAAGTTGGACGTGTTTCCTAGCCCCTCCTTGAGACACTTTCCCTTCCCTAGTTTGTGTGAACCCATACTCGAATGATTTTCTTTTCTTTTTTTTTTTTTTTTTTTGAGACGGAGTTTCGCTCTTGTTACCCAGGCTGGAGTGCAATGGCGCGATCTCGGCTCACCGCAACCTCCGCCTCCTGGGTTCAGGCAATTCTCCTGCCTCAGCCTCCTGAGTAGCTGGGATTACAGGCACGAGCCACCACGCCCAGCTAATCTTTTGTATCTTTAGTAGAGACGGGGTTTCACCATGTGGACCAGGATGGTCTCGATCTCTTGACCTCGTGATCCACCTGCCTTGGCCTCCCAAAGTACTGGGATTACAGGCTTGAGCCACCGCGCCCGGCCACTCTCATGATTTCCAACGCTCTACTGACTCTTCCGATCTTCCTCTGTCATCTTCTGGCCTCATTTGCCAATCTAACCCATTTCTAGTCTCAGTTATAATCGCTCTTTGGACACAGTCTCTATATCCAGTTCTGGCCTCTTGATCAAGTTCCAATCCCAAAATTCCAACTGTCTATTTTTTTCCTATTTTATTGTCCCCCAGTTTTATTGACAAAAAAATTATAATATACTTATGATATCCAATGCAAAGTTTTGATATATGTATACTCTGTGAAGCGATTAAATCAAGCTCATTAACATATCTGTCACCTCACATCCGTGTCATCTTTGTGGTGGGAACATTTAAGATCTACTCTCCTAGCAATTTTCAAATATACAAAACATTATGATTAACTGTAGTCACCACGCTATTCAACAGATCTTCAGAACTCATCCATCCTGTCCAACTGAAACTGCACCCTAAGCAACATTTCCCCATTCCCTTCCCGCAGTTATCAACTCTAGCTCATTGATATCCAAAATCAATGACTTCCAACTGAATTCAGCTTTCCTGAATTCTTCCCCCTGCTCCCCTCTGGTATCAGTGATACACCAATAATATGCCCCAAACATATAGCCTAGAAACTGGGCAATAATCTTACATTTTCTCCACCCCTTCCTTGCCTTCTACTTTACTGGTTATATAATCATGATTCTTTTTCTAACATTTTCTCTTTTCATTCTACCACCACCCTACCCATTATTTTTTGCTAAAATCATTTGAATGACACTGGCTTCCCAGACTCCAATCTCTTGTCTCTAATGATCTTTCACAGCTATGAGATTAATCTTCCAAGAGTACAACTCTAAATCCTTAATCTCTAAAAATGCTCCACTGCCTATGAAACAAAGACCAAATTCCTTGACCCAGCACTCAAATCCTTCATAATCTGGCCCCAATCACCTTACTAAATTTTTCACCACTCTGTTAAGTACTTGCAAATCTCCATACATGCCCATGTTTTCCAGACTGGCTTTTTTTCATGCTATTCCCTATGCCTAGAAAGTCCTCCCCTCCCCTCATATCTGAATGTCTAAATCCTTCTAAATTCAGTCTTCAAGGTTCAGCTCAAATGTCCTCCCAACCTCCCTGGCCAAAAATAAAATGAAATAAATCTTCTCTAATCCATCCCAATTAGAAGTAATCTCTTCTCCCTCAGTGCACCCTGAATGTAACTTTCTTAGGTCCCCATTCAACTTGTAATAAATTTATAATTATCTCTTTATTAGAATATAGATTCTTGGGGAAGACAGTTCACCTCCAGTGCATTACATTTACACCAAATAGTAACTATTAATGGAAGGAGCAAATGCAGTTTTGCAGAGTAAGCCTAACCCCTTTTCCACATGACAGTTCTTCAAATCATTACATTTTTCAATTATTATAAATAAGCAATACATTAATTACTAATAATAATTATAGCTTACATTAATCACTAATATAGTAATTAATACAATAATAGCTATATTAATACTAACAATAATTAGCCACATTGACTACTCTTATAATAAGAGCTAAGATTACATTCACTTTCTCTGAAGATCTTAATAGATTTCAGTTAACTAACACCTCTGAGTCTCTTTTATCACCTACTCTAATCCTGTAAAGTTGGTACTTTAGGAATCTAAGAGCACGATTTGACTTCTACTCCTGTTAAAGTCCATCCATGTACGGCCAGGTGTTGTGGCTCATGCCTGTAATCCCAGCACTTTGGGAGGCCAAAGCAGGCAGACCGCTTGAAGTCAGAAGTTCCAGACCAGCCTGGCCAACATGCTGAAACCCCATCTCTATGAAAAATACAAAATTAGCCAGGCATACTTGGGAGACTGAGATGGGAGAGTTGCTTAAACCCAGGAGGCAGAGGTTGCAGTAAGCCAGGATCACACCACTGCACTCCAGCCTGGGCTACAGAGTGAAACTCTGTCTCAAAAACACTCCATCTTAAAAAAAAAGTCTCAAAAATAAAAAAGTTCATCCTATTGGTTTCAGTTCCACTAGCCATCCATCAGCGCTTTAACCATTCTTTTACAAATCTGATAAGCATGGCTCACAGCAAGAACTCTCAACTCAAGACACACACATGTGTTCCAGGAATCCTTCCCTGCCTAAGTGTGCACCCACTGATGCATAAAGTCTACCAAGATTGTCGTTAATATACTTTAATCCAGGGCTTCCTTAAAGTCAGCATCTGTGGCAGAGAACAAACCCTTTCAGCTATTAAGACAGAAAGTAAGCTCAGTAAAACTGTAGAATGCCATTTTCAAATACCATTACCCAAACCTTGTACATTTAGCGACCACATCCTCATTTCACTTGAAGTATGCAGTATGCAAGCAACGGCTTTCAAAAGGGGTATCTAATTGAGATAACTTTATATTAAATCTGTACGAGGTCATACAACCTACCTTGTAAGGCCAAAGGAATAGCTTCAATCTGGATCTTTGTGGGTTTTGTCCAACCCAACTGGTCACAAGCTTCACACAATACATCGGTCACACCCTTAGAATTCAGAAAAATACATCTTAGCCAAGAACAGCACACACCTACCTCCCTCCTACTTAACTGACTTTGACAGAACCATCAAGTACAATGCTTATACTTGATTTAGAACCTATTTACTGTGCATCTCAGATCCTACTCTTTATAACATGAGACAGTAGCTCAAGACTTAACGAACACTTTGTACTCACCAAGGCCAAGGCCAAATGCTTTACATGTATCATCTCACTGAATTGTCACAACAATTCTGAGAGGTAAGTACTTTTACTACCCCCAATTTACAGATGTGAAAAGAGAAGCACAGAGAGGTAACAATTTGTCTATAGTAAGAGACTGGGTCAAAATTCAAATCTGGTTGGTTCCTCTGACTCCAAAGCTCCAACTATAGAGACCAGTTCCCCATATGTACAACCTCCTGGACACATACAAACGTTGCCACACTAAACTGCAGAACAGGGCAAATAGGGGCCCTGAGAGCCCACGAGCCCTCTCACCACCCAAACTCGGAGTAAGCCCGGAACCCGGCCCTCTGAAATTCTGGGGGAAAACCCAAGCTAGGCCCCGAGATGCTTTTGTACACTATCAGAGCGAGGTCTAAGGTAACTGGGGTATGCCTGAGCCTGACACCAGAGTATATAAAGGAAGCCAGCATCACCCAGTCTCACCAGGTCTTTAAATGTTTTAGTTTCCTCCTCTTCCACCACCGGCTGGGGCTCTTCGGTCGGAGAATCGTGCTCCTCGGATGCTGCCATCTTGCCCGAGGTCTCCGGAAGTGGGTCTGCGGCGCGCGGGATGCCGGGAAATGTAGTTTTAGTTCTCCCCGGTCGGTGTGCTCTGGGCGCCCCCTGCGGGCTTGCAGAGATTTGCACCCGTCCGCTAGACGGGTGGGGCCCAGTGGAAATGCAGCTCAAAATTAGCGGTGGATATGAGCGCGTAGGCTTGGGGAATAGATCCGAGTGCAGAAGGGACTGATCACCAGGAAATCCAGTTGACCTTTAGGTCCCTCTTAAAGAGCATTCCCTACGTGTGTCGCCAGTTACGTTTCTCACTTTTCTAACCATAGAATTTGGAATGGATTGGTATCACAATACTATTTTTTTCATTATTTCATTAATTTATTCGATCATGTTGAGAACCTACCATATGCTAAGTTTATGCTAGATACCTAGTGAACAGGACAGTGACCTCTGCCCTCGTGGAGAAAAAGAAGACAGATCATAAATAAGCTATCACAAACCATTTCAAATTGTGAAAAGTGGCTGGGTGTGCTCACGCCTGTAATCCCAGCACTTTGGGAGGCTGAGACAGGCGGATCACTTGAGGCCAGGAGTTCGAGATCAGCCTGGGCAACATGGTAAAACCTCATTTCTACAAAAAAATACAAAAATCAGCCTGGCATGCATGGTGGCATGTGCCCAGCTACTTGATAAGCTGAGGTTGTGGGATCACTTGAGCCCAGAGGTTGAGGGTGCAGTGAGCCAAGATGGTGCCACTGCACTCCAGCCTGGGTGACAGGGTGAAATCCTGTGTAAGTAAAAATGACAGAGTAACCTGGGGAGGGTGGGTTGTGGGGATAACTGTGAGACTGGGAAGGCCTCTCTGAGACAATGATTTTGAGCTAAGACCTCACTGAGGAGCAGGAGAAAATGCTGTAAGAGCCCAGGAGATAATTATTCCAGAGTAAGAGAATTACAAGTACCAAGACCATGAAGCTACTGAGGCTATTTGGGAAAGCAGCAAATTCAGAGCTGTATGTTGCATGCCCCATGACCAGCAAGTGCCCTCCCATGGCCTGTCACTCGGGCCTCACACTGTGCAGGGTGCTTATTGCAGCCTTATTCCTGAGGATGGGAAGTTGGAGGCAATCTGGTGCCCGTCACTGGGAAAATGCATGTTAAAATGTGAACATGGTGTCTACAAACATGCCCTTAACAATATGATTAGATCTCAAAGTGCTGAGAGAGAAAAGCATAAAATACATCAAGTATATTAAAATATAGGCCCACAGATATCACATTCTGCTAAAACACATCCAACAGAAGATTCTTGAAATATTTTAGAATGGTTGCCTGCGGAGGGAGAGTAATTAGAATAAATTTGGGAACTGGGAATAAAAAAAACTAAGTATAAAAGAAAATAGGCTGGGGAAGGGGGCTCACACCTGCCATCCCAGCACTTTGGGAGGCCAAGGTGGGTGGATCACTTGAGGTCAGGAGTTTGAGACCAGCCTGGTCAACATAGTGAAACCCCGTCTCTACTAAAAATTAGCTGGGCTTGGTGGTGTGCACCTGTAATCCCAGCCACTCAGAGGGCTGAGGCAAGAGAATCCCTTGAACCCAGGAGGCAGAGGTTGCAGTAGGCCATCAGTCCATTGCACTCCAGCCTGGGTGACAGAGCAAGACTCCATCTCAAAATAATAATAATAATAAATACACAAAGCAAGAGAGGGGACTTTGTGATGCCAGTGTGCTTGGCCTGAGAATCGTGATGAACTCAACTCAATATGCCTGCTGTCTTTCCCACCACCACACCAAAAAAAAAAAAAAAAAAATCCCTGATTTAGGCATCACAGTGGTGTCTGTGACAACAAAAAGGGTAGGGTTCAGTGAGAAAAGTGGGCTCAGCTCAGACCCTGCAGGGCCCCGTGGAAAAAGGTCTGGGATTTGGGTGTTAAAATGCAAATCCCAGACCTTTTTCTCTCTTAGATTAGGGGTCCCCTTGGACTGGTGCAGAGGGAAGCCACTGGGGGGTTAGAGCAGGGAAGAGACATGGTCTACATGTTGAAAATATTCCTCTAACTCTCTGTGGAGATAAGCTGTAGAAAGAGTGGGAAAAGGAGACCATCTAAGGCAGTGGCCCCAACCTTTTTGGCACCAGGGACTGGTTTCATGGAAGACAATTTTTCCACCGAGTTGGGGCAGGGATGGTTTCAGGATGAGTCAAGTCCATTACATTAATTGTGCCCTTTATTTCCATAATTATAATATTGTAATATATATTGAAATAATTATACAACTTGCCATAATGTAGAATGAATGGGAGTCCTGAGTTTGTTTTCCTGCAACTAGATGGTTCCATCTGGGGGTGATGGAGACAGTGACAGATCACCAGGCAATAGATTCTCATAAGGGACAGGCAACCTAGATCCCTTGGGATAGGGTTTGTGCTCCTAAGAGAATCTAATGCCACCACTGATTTGACAGGTTGTGGAGCTCAGGTAGTCATGCTTGCTCACCTGCTTGCTGCTCACCTCCTGCTGTGCAGCTCGGTTCCTAACAGGCCACAGACTGGTACCAGTCCACGGCCCGGAGGCTGGGGACCCTGATCTAAGGGAGAAGGGATGGTCTTCATACCCCTGGCTCTAAGCACAGGGCCTGGCAAAAAGTGGATGCTCTGTAAATGCTGCCTGGCTGAAGTAAAACTCAGCAAAGTGTTGGGATCAGGAACCCCAGCAGACCAGGGAGGGCTTCACTGTTTGTTTTTTAGGGAGTGAGGTTTTTCCGTCTTTAAGATTACACTCTTGGCCGGGCACATTGGCTCAGGCTTGTAATCCCAGCACTTTGGAGGCCAAGGTGGGTAGATCACTTGAGGTCAGGAGTTAAAGACCAGCCTGACCAACATGGTGAAACCCCATCGCTACTAAAAATACAAAAATTAGCTGGGCATGATGGTAGGCGCCTGTTATCCCAGCTACTCGGGAGGCTGAGGCAGGAGAATCACTTGAACCTGGGAGGTGGAGGTTGCAGTGAGCCAAGGTCGTGCTTCTACACTGCAGCCTGGGCCACACAGTGAGACTCGCCCTCCAAATATATATATATATATATATATATATATATACATATATATATATATATATATATGTATATATATATACATATATATATATATATATATATGTATATATATATATATATATATATAAAATAAAAATTTTAAAAACGTTACACTCCTGCAGAATAGGCCGGGGCCTTTGGTCTTTTTATATTCATTCACTCCAAGTTAAAAGAAAGGCGGGAAGACACACACTGGATAAGACACCAGGCCACCCTGAAATTGGTTCTATTGGGCAGTCACAGGCATACCATTATGCTACCCCGTCTAAGGCACTCCATCTCTCTGTTTAGCTCTCCTCTCATTCTCCTCTCAATGACTTGGAATTGGGCCACCCTAGATGGTCTCCAAAGTGCATACATATGCTTTGGGATAAGGGGACGTCATCTTCTCCCAAAGAAAGCCTACGCAGCTCACTTGGGCTCTTCCTCTTCTTCCCTGTTATGTGGACCTGCTGGGGCATTTGTACCCCTCATCTGACAGATGAGAACTCTAGTCCCAGAGAGTAAGGAGACATAAGAGTAAAGAAATAGTAAAGATCACAAGAAATAAGACTAGAAGCCACGCCTCTTAGACCGGACACCGTGGTTCACGCCTATAATCCCAGCACTTTGGGAGGCCAAGGCAGGCAGATCACCTGAGGTCAGGACCAGCCTGGCCATCATGGCAAAACCCCGTCTCTACCAAAAATGCAAAATTTAGCCGAGTGTGGTGGTGTGCGCCTGTAAACCCAGCTACTTGGGAGGCCAAAGCAGGAAGATTGCTTGAACCTGGGAGGTGGAGGTTGCAGCGAGCTGAGATGACACCACTGCACTCTAGCCTGGGTGACAGAGTGAGACTCTGTCTCAAAAAAAAAAAAAAAAGCCAAGCCTCTTCAGACCAGACCAAAGCTTTTACCAAAAAGAACATAATCTTACATAATCGAAAGCAGCTTTCTTCTTCAAAACCAGCCACACAGACTTTTCTGTAAGAACAAAGAGAGAAAGCAGTTGCAGTATTTGTTTTGCTTCCCCATGACTCATTCCCTGATTGCATTTAGGAGAGTGGAACTGGAAAGGAAGAGCTGAGAGGAGGAGAGGGTCCTGACTGGAGAGCGAGGGGAAGCAGCGATTAAAACGCCTGAAAAGGGGACTCAGATGGAAACAACTGGAAGGTCTATAAATGCGTACATAATACAACGGCCAACGTTACCCGAATTTTGTTCAAATGTGTTACAGAAAAGAGAGAATCATCCGTAAGATGTCTGGGGGTGGCTGCTGCTTTAAGGAAACTGATCTAAACCTTTCAACTCAGTTATAACATAAAACCCTGTTGATTTTAGCCAAGCAAGAGTCTTTTCTGTTTGTTCTTGGATAAGTCAGACACAGGCTGCTTTTAGAACTTCCTCTGGTGCCACTGTCCCCAAGGTTTCAAGGGCGGTGAAAAGAATGTGGCATGCAGTGACAGCAGTGTCAGTGCTGCTCAGTTCCTTGATCCGTTCCTGCCAGCAAGGTTTGGGCCTGGGAACAACACCCACCCCAGTGGCAAGATTGATGTCAAATCCACAGGATGGCCACAGGTGTGTTCAGAAGAGGACCTGCCGGGCTGAGATGGTTGTCAGCTTTTGACTATTCCTATCAGGTGAGAAGCAGTTCAGATATTTATATTCTGGGAATGGAAATAATAGAGGTCCATTCTAGTTAACTGAGCCGTGTCATATCCTGTACTTTCAGAACAATGAGAAAGCTTGAGGAGGAAATCTAAATAAACACTCTACATGATGAGGGAGGAAAAGCAAGCCTGAAACAATATCCCAACTCCAGAAGGAGAGGTCGAAGGTCTGACCCCAACTTACTCAAAGGTTTTCATGAGCCGCAGGCTCCTTCGCCTTCATGCCCCTCTTCTTTCACAAAAAAAGTATTAAAAATTATATTTTACAACTGCATTAGTATATAGACAAATATATTAATGTTACACATTAAAACCTGTTCTTTGACTCAAAAAAAACTTTTTTATTGTATTATTTTTACTTTTTAGAAACAGGCTCTCTCTTCTGCCCAGGCTAGCGTGCAGTGAGTTCTGATTGTGCTACTGCAACCTTGAACCCCTGGACTCAAGGGATCCTCCCACCCAGCCTCCCAAAGCACTGGGATCACAGGCATGAGCCACCGCAGCTGTGCCTCTTTGTTTTTATGTATTTTTTTTTTTTTCTTTTTTGAGATGGGGTCTCACTCTGTCGCCCAAGCTGGAGGGCAGTGGCATGATCTCGGCTCATTGCAACCTCTGCTTCCTGAGTAGCTGGGACTACAGGCACGCGCCACCACGCCCAGCTAATTTTTATACTTTTAGGAAAGATGGGATGTCACCACATTGGCCAGGCTGGTCTTGAGCTCCTGATCTCAAGTCATCAGCCCACCTCAGCCTCCCGAAGTACTGGGATTACAGGCATGAGCCGCCGCGCCCAGCCCTGGCCTTCTTTAGATTTTAAAAGGAATTAAAACCTGTTTTTGGAGATCTGTGAAAGCACTGTGGCTCTAGGCATTGGGTCAAGGGAAGGGTGAGGAACGTGGGTGAAGCCTGCCACAGCCCAGGAACCCAGGACCGCTGTGGGGGTGAGCAGCTTAGTGTGTTGGTGGTTCTGGAGCAAAAGTAGAGTGAGCCCCCAACTTAGGGACAAGAGAGGGCTTTCTGTGAAGGACTCAAAGAAAAATCATCATCAGTTTCTGCACGAAATGGTTGAGAAGTCGCATACGCGGAGGTCGATTTTGGAGGACGCTCACTTAGGACCAAGTGCCCTTTATTCAAGAAGGAACCCATACCCTACGTAGTCAGTCAGGAAATTATCTTTAGACTTGTGAGTGGTAACTTGTCATGAATATGTATGTTCAGAGGAAGAAAGGACATACATAGATGATGTAATAATGGGGGCAGAGAGAGAAGACAGCAGTCTACATAAATCCAGAAAAGAGACAGTTCAAGTTACTTAGTTTTCTAACCAACTCTTGTCTAGAGGGAAAAAACTACTCCTTGCTATTTGTTGATTTCTTTTTCTTTTTGCTTTTAATTTGAAACTTTTTTTAAATGTTTCTTTGTTTGTTTTCAAGACGGAGTTTCGCTCTTGTTGCCCAAGCTGGAGTGTAGATGCGCTATCTTGGCTCACTGCAACCTCAGGCTTCTGAGTTTAAGCGATTCTCCTGCCTCAGCCTCCCGAGTAGCTGGGATTATAGGCATTCGCCACCACGCCTGGGTAAGTTTTCTATTTTTAGTGGAGACAGGGTTTCACTGTGTTGGCCGGGCTGGTCTCAAACTCCTGACCTCAGGTGATCTGCCTGCCTCAGCCTCCCAAAGTGCCGGGATTACAGGTGTGAGCCACTGTGCCCAGCCTTTCCTGTGACTTTTAAACTGAGACTTGAAAGCTGAGCAGCACTTACTAGCTGCGTAGGATGTGGCAAGAGGTCTACAGAGAGAAAGAATCTTCCAAGTGAAGCCCCTGCGGTTGAAAAAATCAAAAAGAAATGATAAGGCAGCAATTTATGAAAAAGCTGGATGTACAGTGAAGGACCTTGCCAGGACCTTATGGAGCAGGTTAAGGATCTGGGATGTGGGACTTTATTCTAAGGACAATGAATAGCCGTGGAAGAAATTTCAGCATGGAAGCATTTGAAAGGAGTCCTCACTCAGCTGCAGTGGAGTGTGGTTTGGATAGGGGGCGGGATGCAGGAAGATCGGCTAGCAGCTGTTTGAGCAGAAGATGATGGCATTTTGGAGCAGAGAGGAGATGGTGGCGTTGGAGAACAATGGACACTTAAAGGCTGTATACAGGTTAGGTAAATCCTCACGACTGATTTAACATGGAGGATGAAAGCCAGGCATGTGTCAGGGATTCCCAGATTTCTGGCTTAACAGGGAGCAAAGTGGCATAACCATTGACAGCTAGAAAACACTGGAGGAGCAGCAAATATGTGGAAGGGAAGAGGTCATGTTCAGAAGGCGTGGCTGTGGTAGGAACCAGGACCTAAACTCAGAAGTCTGGTCCAGAGCTCACCCTTACACCATCCCGTGCCATCCCTAGTGTCGGTTTTGGGCGATTCTGTTTTGATTTTGTTTTTGTTTTTATCGAGATGAGGCCTCCTTATGTCCCACAGGCTGGTCTCAAACCCCTGAGCTCAAGTGATTCTCCCACCTCAGCCTCCCAGAGTGCCAATGTACCCAAGTGTGTTGATACTACATTGGCACTGTACTATCCCCAGTAGGATGAAGAGAAATATCAGTAATACGCTCAAAACATTTTCAATTCGCTTAAGCCGATTTATTTTGTCTTCTGCAGAGTCTACGCACTTCAGAGGACGTCTCTTCTGTGGGTAATCCGTTTTGAGCCTCAATTTGGCCATATCTTCCAGTGAACATGAAAACTTTAGCATCTGGATTTCTCCCAGTACTTGCTTTTCTCTTCACCTTCTTCATCTCACCCCTTTCTTTCCTGCAGGCTCCACATCAGCAAGTCTTACAGACTCTGTTGCCAAAATTCGTCTGGACTCGCACTACTTCTCCTCCTTTTGTGTCACTGCCATCAGAGTTCAAAATAAATTTTATCGTTGTTTGATTTCCCACCAGAATGCAGGCGTTACCGGAGCAGTGACTAGAGCACATCTGTGCTGTGCACTAATGCAATTCCCACTGCCTAGCACAGAACAGGAATTCAGAAACACTTGCCCAGTGGGTGAATGAGTGGTTGGTAGATGGGTCTCCTGTGAGTGTGCTTAGCATGAATAAATCCCTAGAGCCTACTTATTTACTAATCAGATGGATCACAGGGAGTTTCTGAATCTGAAAAAAAAAGAGAGAGAGAGAGAGAGAGAGGAGAGAAACCGACCTAGGAATGTCATAATTTAACAAGGCTGTGGCCACTCCCATGATGGACACCAACCCATAGGCGGTGGCTAGGAGCTGCTCAGCCGGGCTGGGGTGGCAGTGTGGCAGAAAAGCCAACGTTCCTACCAAACCCGCCATTTGGCCCCCTGAGTCCCCAGGTCCATTAGATACAACAGATTTTTCCGTCTAGTGCTCCCGAAAAATCTGGTGTCTCAGACTGAGAACTAAACTGAAGAGGACAATGACGTTTATAATGCAAATAAAATGTATAACGAATGGGTTCAACGTGGAGTCAGCATGAGCAGGAAGTTCGAATGTTGTGTTATAATGCTCATGTAGAAAGCCACGGGGGCTAGGGTTTCAAGGTCAGTTCACACTCCGGGCCAGGTCATAAAGGAAGAGGCAGCTTTGAGTCATTTCCTGGTTTTCTGGTTTCCTTGTATTCCCTTCATACAAGTGTTTTTTGGTTTTTTTTTTTTTAATGTATACACTATTTTCTTTTTAGACAGTCTTACTTCCTCACTCAGGCTGCAGTGCAGCGGTCCGATCTCAGCTCACTGCAACCTCCGCCTCCTAGGCTGAAGAGATTCTCCTGCCTCAGTCTCCTAAGTAGCTGGAATTACAGGCGTGTGCTAATTCTTTTGTATTTTTAGTAAAGACAGAGTTTCTCCATGTTGGCGGGGCTGGTCTCAAACTCATGGCCTCAAGTGATTCACCTGCCTCACCCTCCCAAAGTGCTGGGATCACAGGCATGAGCCATCGCACCCAGCATTAAATGTATACACAATTTTTTAAAAAAGTACTAGAAATGGAGGTGTGTATAAAGTTCCCTGGCAATCCCGATACCAAGGCCACAATAAAATAATGAGTGTAATACACAGCGGCTTCCAGCTACACTGAAGCTAGAAGCATGTGAATTTCATAGAGGAAGTTTGATATCTAAATGCTTAAAATAAATAAAACATTCACTGGTCTCCTGGACACTTCTCATGCTTGATGACAGCCCAACATCTTGTAATCATCTTTTCCAATGATTGGCAAATTCCTCCCATTTTAAGTTCATCTCCTTGAAGTAGAAACCAGAAACTCACTCTCCACCTTCCCTTGCACCTGGGTCCCAGACACATGACTTGGTCTCTGCCACACAGACACAGTCACACCAGAGCTTAGTTCAGACGCGGGTCGGGCAAGGAAGTGGACACAGCCATTGGGAGAGTTGTCCTGCTGAAGGGGCAGCAGCAAAGGCTGTGACGTCCAGGCCTGTGCTAGGCGTGCGGTATGAGGTGCCCGAGCCTGCAGCAGCAGCAGCGGGGTTTCTGCCGGAGACGTGATCTCACAGCATGGTGTGCTGTTCCTGGCTGCATTGCCCTTGAGCCTGACTTTTACTTTCTTGGAGATTCTGCGAGCTTCCTAATATGCTTTAATAAATTCCTTCTCTGCCTCACTAGAAAAGGTTCTGGTGTTTGTATCTAAGAACCCTAAGAGCTGGTAAAGGAAAAAAACTACATTTCTCTGATCTGTTGGGTTTTTTGTTTGTTTGAGATGGAGAATCGTTCTGTCACCCAGGCTGGAGTGCAGTGGCTCAATCTCAGCTCACTACAACCTCTGCCTCCTGGGTTCAAGCGATTCTCCTTTCTCAGCTTCCCGAGTAGCTGGGATTACAGGTGTCCACCGCCCCCACCCCGACCCTGCTTAACTTTTGTGTTTTTAGTAGAGACGGGGTTTCACCATGTTGGTCAGACTGGTCTCAGACTCCTGACTTCAGATGTGATCCATCTGCCTCAGCCTCCCAAAGTGCTAGGATTACAGGCGTGAGCCACTGTCCCTGGCCTGATCTTTTTTTTTTTTTTTTTTTTTTTTTTTTTTGAGATGAGATCTCACTCTGTTGCTCAGGCTGATCTCAAACTCCTGGGCTTAAGTGATCTTCCCACCTCAGCCTGCCGATCATATGTTATGAAAACCTGCTCAGCAAACTGTCCGTCTGTGTTGGTCCTTTGTGCAATCTGGTGAGCCTGTGCATTTCCTTACTGCGTCTTTCTCCCACTCCCACTTTCCTGAACCAACTCAGCTCAGCCTTCCCGTGCCCCGTCTCCCACTGTCACTCTCAGCCTATGACTTGCTTCCTATTTCAGTGAAAAAATGAAAAAAAACTGCCACGTTTCCACCGCCCGTCTTATCTGCCTTCCCTCTTGTTCTTGAAGGTGTGCTGTCATGCCCCTGCCAAATGCAGCCAACCCTCCACGTGAGCCCTGGGCCAGATCTCACCCCCTCCTACTTTCTCAAGGACATTCCTCTGAAGTCCCTGTGCTCTCTCCTGCTCCATGAATGTTTCTCTCTGCACTGGATGATTCTCCCAATATCTATACATGCTGTTATTTCTTCCCATCTTAAAACGTATTTCTGATGACCCCACATCCCTGTAGTGCCACTGCCCACTTCTCTGTTTCCTTGACAGCAAACTCTTCGTACACATTGTCTGTGTAGGCCGCCTCCCATTCCTGTTTCTTGAATCCACTTGAGTAAGCCTTTTGCCCAAAATGTTTCCAGGGAGACTTCCTTTAGGACCGTCATGCTGCCGAATCCAACTGTCAGTTCCTGTTCTTCATCTTACTTGATTCCTTAGCAGTATCCAACTGTCTCTTCCTTGAAAAATCCTTTTCACTTGGGTCTCAATACACTGGAGACTCGGTCTTTCTCCTGGCTCGCTGGCCGTCCCTTCTGTCTTCCTAGCTAGTTCTTCCTTATTCCCACCCCTTCCCACCCGAAATGTCAGAGTACCCGGGGCTGGATCCTTGGACCTGGTCTCTGTATTGCCTATTTCCACTCATCTCTTGTGGCCACATCCAGTCTCATGAGTTTTAATACCACCAACTTGCTCGGGATCCCCAAATGGATATCGCCCTTCTAAGTCCTTCCTTGGGTCTCAGACTCATGTATTCAGCTGCCTGCTAGGATATGTCAGGAATCTCTAACACTCAACTCCTGACTCCACTCCTCCCCAGCGTGTTTCTCCCACAGCCTTCCCCACATCAGGAAATAGCCATGTCATCTTTCTAAATTACTCAAGCCAGAACTCCTCTCTTACACCTCCCACACCCGATCTGCCAACAAATCTTGCGGGTCTGCTTTCATCATGTATCCGGAATCTGGCTACTTTTCTCCACTCCCAGCTACCAACACTTCTGACCTAGGTTATGGCAGGAGCCTCTTAACTAGTCTTCTTGTTACCATTCTTACCTCTCAACCATCAGTTCTCAACATAGCAGCAAAGGGATCCTTTGAAAACATGAGTCAGTTAGGCATGGTGGCTCACGCCTATAATCCTAGCACTTTGGGAGGCCATGGTGGACGGATCACTTGAGGCCAGGAGTTCAAGTGCAGCCTGGCCAACATGGCAAAACTACATCTCTACTAAAAACATAAAGAATTAGCCAGACATGGTGGCATGCACCTGTAATCCCAGCTACTCAGGAGGCCCAGAAAGGAGAATCACTTGAACCTGGGAGGTGGAGGTTGCAGTGAGCCAAGATCACACCACTGCACTCCAGCCTGGGTGACAGAGTGAGACTCTATCTCAAAAATAAATAAATAAACAAACAAGCTGGGCACGGTGGCTCACACCTGTAATCCCAGCACTTTGGGAGGCCCAGGCTCGCGGATCTTGTGGTCAGGAGTTCGAGCCCATCCTGGCCAACATGGTGAAACCCCACTTCTACTAAAAATACAAAAATTAGCTGGGCATGATGGTGCGTGCCTGTAATCCCAGCTACTCAGGAGGCTGAGGCAGGACAATTGCTTGAACCAGGGAGGCGGAAATTGCAGTGAACTGAGATCATGCCACTGCACTCCAGCCTGGGCAATAGAATGAGACTCCACCTCAAAAATCAATAAATACATAACCACAGAATTGAGTTCCTTTTAGCCCTTCATAGTGTCATCCATCATAACAAACACCACAGGAACTCGGCACTTCTCTGGGGTGTGTACTCAAGTTCAGAGTCAAAGTTTAGACAAGATTATGTTCTGTTTGCTTGAACTATAAACAAACCTGGAATTATGTAAATGAATCAAGGATTGAAGTATGGGGTGAATTTGAGCAGAAAGAAGTTGGAATTAGGAAACAGCTTGAAGGTCATCGTAGGTGTTAGGACATAAAAGCCTAGGTGGGTGTGGGAGCAGTAGAATGGATCAAAACGGAGGGGAGAGACATTTCATGGGAAGGAAATACTTTGGCAAAAGTATATTAGAGTGGCCAGGTATGGTAGTTCATGCCTATAATCCTAGCACTTTGGAGGCCAACACAGGTGGATCGCTTGAGCCCAGGAGTTCGAGACCAGCCTGGGCAACATGGCGAAACCCCATCTCTACTAAAAATACAAAAATTAGCCAGGCATGGTGGTGAGCACTTGTGATCCCAGCTACTCAGGAGCTGAGGTGGGAGGATCATGGTGGGAGGTTGAGAGGACTTTAGCAGTGGCCACACCAGTGCACTCCAGCCCACGCAATAGAGGGAGAACCTGTCTCAAAAAAGGAAAAGAAAAAAGAAAAGTATATCAGAGAAGTAAGAAAAAGGACAATTTAGAGATGATGATGATGATGATATTTCCAGGTAGACAATTGGGAGACTGATGTTGCCTTTGATAGAAGAGCTGTGAAACTGGGCCAGTTTTACAGAGAAATTTAGATTCAGAGGTTCTAAGAAGCAGTGCCAGCATATCCATGAGGATAAACATTGCTTGTTCAGTCAACAAATGCTATTGGGCATCTCCTGTGGCAGGAGCTGGAGAGCTGGAGAGAGATTTAACAATGTCTATGATGTGGTTTCTGTCCTTAAGAGCCTTGGGGTAGGCACATACATATTTAATAAAAGGTATCAAGTGATAAATTTACATAAGAGACACACAGATTGCTCCTAGACATTCAGATGGGAATGTCTGCATCTGGCTGGAGTCAAGTACAGCACATCAGTGAGAGGAATGGGATAGTAGGAATGCAGCTAGGGCTTTGGTTTATGTGCACTCTTCTGCAACCTTTTTCAGTCAGTCAGTGATTTCATTTGTTTTCGTTTTATATGATACCCACCAAATTCAACTTGACCCCAAAGAATCCTTTGGAGCTGGTTTCATCCTTACCAACATCCAGCCCACGACTACTGAGACCCTGGAAACGCACATGCTCAGTGAAGGGCTGTGTGGTGAGGTCAGGGGAATGGCAGCCTGGGTCTGAGGCTCAGGGGAACTTGAACTTTAAGACTGGAGGAGAAAAGAAGCTGTCAGGGAAACTGAATAGGAAAGGCTGGTGTCACAGAATTCAAGAGAAAGGGTGCCTTAATAATCAGGTATTCAGCAAAGTCAGAAGTTACAGAGAGGTTAGAAAGGATGAGAATTAAACAGCTAATAGTGTTCACTATGCAAAACCTCAGAGAACAATGTTAGAATCAAACCAACCACAGGCAAAGCATTATGATGAAGACGTGTGATACCCAACGTGTTATTCCTACTCATACCTATGTACTCACCCACATGCCTCCAGCGCTTTTAGCCCATAACTGCTAGACTGCAACTGAGCACACACCCCTAACAGGAAGAAATTTGACAAGCAAGGTCAGTGGTAGTTTCGATGGAATGACCCCAACAAGTTTCATTTTTTTGAGGTTTTCAAATCTGATCTGGATAGGCCTGTTCGACCAGTAATTTCTTCCTTCATGTCCGTGTGGGCTCCACTGTTATCTTCAGTTCCAGTGCATCTGCAGTTAGCAAAAGGTCCTTATAAATCACGTCCTTCCACTTCAGGTGTTTTGTTTACAAGAATCTTGCCATGTTTGGGAGATTTGGGGGACCATCGCAAAGTATTGTTCTGTACATAGGTTTCCGTTTTGTTTTGTTTGAGACAGAGTTTCGCTGTCAGCCAGGCTGGAGTGCAGTGGCACAATCTCAGCTCGCTGCAACCTCTGTCTCCTGAGTTCAAGTGATTCTCCTGCCTCAGTCTCCCGAGGAGCTGGGATTACAGACGTGTGGCCACCATACCCAGCTAATTTCTGTATTTTTATTAGAGACGGGGTTTCACCATGTTTGCCAGACTGGTCTCGAACTCCTGACCTCAGTTGATCCACCCACTTCAGCCTCCCAAAACGCTAGAATTACAGGCGTGAGCCACTGTGCCAGCCTGTATATAGGTATGATTAGAGCAAAGTTCTGTAACTTTCAAATCACACCCACATCGTTTATTATAAATACTAACTTGCAAAACTATATTTTAATTTCTGATTGACTAACCTACTGGCATAAGATTACTCTTTCTAGTTGGCTAGACTGTTACTGCCAAGAGATTTTTTTTTTTTTTTTTTTAGACAGGTTCTGGCTATGTTGTCCAGGCTGGTTGGAGTGCAGTGGTGCAATCACAGTTCACTACAACCTCGACCTTCTGGGCTTAAGCAATCCTCCCACCTCAGCCTCCCAAGTAGATGGGACTACAGGTGTGCAACACCACGCTCAGTTCGTTTAAAGTTTTTTGCACAGATGATGTCTCACCATGTTGCTCAGGCTGGTCTCTAACTCCTGGACTCAAGCAACCCACCTGCCTCAGCCTCCCAAGGTGCTGGGACTGGCCAGACACGTTGGCTCACACCTATAATCCCAGCACTTTGGGAAGCTAAGGTGGGCAGATCACCTGAAGCCAGGAGTTCAAGACCCCCCTGGCCAACATGGTGAAACCCCGTCTCTACTAAAAATACAAATGTTAGCCTGGCATGGTGGCCGGCACCTGTAATCCCAGCTACTCAGGAGTCTGAGGTAGGAGAATTGCTTGAACCCAGGAGGCAGAGGATGCAGTGAGCCGAGATCGTGCCACTGCCCTCCAGCCTGGGCGACAAGAGTGAAACTCCATCCCCCCAAAAAAAGAAAGAAAAGAGCATAACTAGAACTTTGGAGTCAGGCTGCCAGAATTCAAATTCTGGGGCGCCTCATGCTGGCAAGGCAACCTCTCAAACTCCTTACTTTGTCTAGTAATATAGGGTAATTGTAGCGTGCAAACCACAAGAGATTTGCAAGGTCAATGAAATGAAACAGGTCAAATTGTAATTAGAACAGTATCTAGTGAGTTACCAATAAGTCTTAGCAATTGTTATTGTTAAATAACCCATATGTATGTTCAATATTACTGAAATGTCATTTTATTTAAGCAGTGAGAAAAATACTGTTTTTAAATAGTATTTTGAGAGTACAGTTTTAATACAAAGTAAGGGCAGAAACAAATGTCTGCTTATCAACCAGGGAGCCCTAGAAAAAGAAGTTTCACCTAAAAGAAAGATTTTTAGGCATCCCCCTACCCCAAACTGCATCTACACAAAAAGCTTCTCCCAGTTACAATTATTTTGGTGAATTTGTCAACCGTATTCACACAAATGCTGGAGGAAGCCAGGATCTGGCTGCTCCTGTGTGTAAGGGAGGCAGAGGCCTTGGCTGTGACCCATGGCTAAAGCTCAGGGCGAATCAGGTCACTGGCCTGCCTGTCCTCCGAGCTCTGGGGTTATAGTGTAAATACAAAATTAGATTAAGCATTATTTTCTGCAGATAAAGCTTCGTATAGACAGTCTCTATGTGTGCAGGCAAAGACCATATCACAGAGCCTTCTCTCCACAACCCAGTGCTAATGCTAGTCAGGTGTGGGGGTGCCGAGGACCCCTAATGTGCATTCCTGGCCCCTGGATGGATCTTGCTTCATCAGCACGATTTCCCCTCTCCTAACAACTCTCTGGTTGCTAAGAGATTGTTTTCAGATCTAAGGGCTCACTCTTTGTCCTATTCCAGACCACAGCAGGGTTTACTTTTCCTCTTCTGAGTTTGCCAGGAGCAAAAAGTAACATCCCAACCTCCTGTCAAGTTAACAAGAGATTTATTGCAATTAACTAAAAGGACACTTGTTACTACAGGAATACCATATGCTTCAGCAAAGGCAGGATCCCAGCTTGCGGCTGGCCTCTGCAAACAGTCAGGGGCCTGCCAACACAGCCTTTTTCGGTCGTACAGTCATTAACAGTGCAGCCTCCAGACCCAGGAATGTTTCCAAGGTGCAGCTGGCACTCAGATAGTGAGGTCATCTCCACAGCAGTCTCTCCCAACTGGCTGCAGCAACCACAATAGGCTTTTTGTTTGGATTGCTGGACCCCCTTCTCAATGGTCACCCTCCTTTCCTTTCTTACCAACAGAATCTTAATACTACTAGGGGCTACGTTGTTCTTGGCTAAAAATACATTTCCCAGCCTGTCTTGCATGGTCAAGATCGGTGACTTGCAAGGTTAAGTCCCCCGGAGATTTACGGGAAAGTTTTGCTTTCCTGATATACATGCTGCCCTTCACCCTCCCTGTCCACCTCTCTTCAGTGTTTGGATTTTGTGAAGGCTAATCTGGCTGATTCTAGGTTTCCTTTCAATTCCTTCCCAAGTTATAATTATGTTCAAAGGTTTTGAGACTGCCGGAAGTCTGATTTCAAGGCAATAAGGGAATTCCTGTGTATGCATTGAATACTTTTAAAAAATGGATTCATATAGTTTGATCTGAATCTTCTAAGTGAAAATGATTAAACATTTGCCCCTTTTCAAAGTTACTGCTTCATACCCAAGGAAACATAGGACTAGGAAATTAATTACAGAAAGATCAAAACGTTTGAGGAATGAGCAATTTATTTCAATAAAGGGAAGGCATTAATTTTGCTACAGTGGGAAAAAATGAACTCAAGAGTTGCTACATGTGACCGTATCCCCATTTATCTCTGCACAATGTCTGTATCTCAGTGTCTCAATTCACTCTAAAGTATTAATTGAGAAATATACCACGTTGGCTAATGGCTTAACATATCTGATTTAGGGAGACTTCCACAACCACTCCTCTCTTTTTTCTCCCAGTAAATACTTTTGATTTTGACACTTGCCATATTGGAAATGACAGGTGCCTGAGGGAAGTGCATCAAAGCAGTTAGAAGCCGAATGCTTGCTAAGGATTATTTTTTTAATGGAGCAGAATGTAGTTTTACTGAATCCTTACAATGCAGAACCCAGTGAATCTCCTTTATTGTGAAACAAAACCACCAAAATGATTGCAAACCCAAGAAGCACTTAAACATTTAGTACAAACATATTTATTTCTCAAATTCTGACATTTTTGTAAAGTACACTTAACATCTAAATATCCCTCTTCCTTCTTCCCTTTTATGACACACATTTCAACCTTTTCATTTATAGAATGAAGACCTTAAGGAAAAGCCTTACTCACATCCCCACAAAAGAAATGAATAAATATTTGTTTCTAGAATCAATCTAACTGAAATTGACTAAATCTTGGTAGAGGCTCCAATCTTATACATAAAGGGATGGATGATGTTTCGTTATCAACACATTCTCATTAAGATAGCCAAACAGTCAATTAAATTATTCAAATGCATTTCTTAAGTTCCTGCTATGTGCAAAGTATTGTTCCAAAGTAGACACTCTTCCTTAGATATAAAGCGGGCCACTGAAATCATAACTTCAAAAGTATAGAACTTCTGATACATCCAAAATATCCAAATGACAAGAAAAGTTTGCTGCTGCTGTTGCTGCTGCTTCCAGAAGTGCCCACTTTATTTCCAGGGAATAGCTTAGGCATTGGAAGAATATAATTTAAACTTAAGCATAAATAAAAGGTAGAGTTAGGGAATAGTTGTACCTTTATCCCACAACACAACTAACAATGTGAACTACAGCCCGGTGACCTAAAATGCTAGCATCTGGCCAGGCGAAGCAGCTCACGCCTGTAATCCCAGCACTTTGGGAGGCCAAGGTGGGCAGATCACCAGAGGTCAGGAGTTCAAGACCAGCTTGGCCAATATGGCGAACACCCATCTCTACTAAAAATACAAAAAACTAGCTGGGTATGCTGGTGCACATCTGTAAACGCAGCTACTCAGGAGGCTGAAGCAGGAGAATGGCTTGAACCCAGGAGTCAGAGGTTGCAGTGGGCCAAGATCACACCACTGCATTCCAGCCTGGGTGACAGAATGAGACTCTGTCTCAAAAAAAAATGCCAGCATCTGGGTGAGGCAGTCTAGGAGATGACATCAGCTTGAAAATAAACCAATATACATTTCAAAATAAACCAGGATACAGACAATTGCAATTTATAGAAAAAATAAAAATATAGAAATATCACCTCTTCTCCCCAACCCCAGTACTGAGATTATACTTCCTCAGACAAACTGCCATCATTGGGAAGGATGGGGGTTGATTAGGTACATGTATAGCATATTAAATAATTAAATAACAGAGGCACAGTTTTCGCATGTATGGTCCCAAAGACTTTTCAACTTATTTTTCAACATTACAGCTGTTAAGAATGGAAATTGAAGGAATTGTATTTTCACTGACAGTTTCTTACATACCCCAAAGTGAAAATGCAACACATCACCACCATAAATCATGCTATTCTGTCACCCATAAGACATAACTTCATAGGACATTGGGCTTGCAAGCTCTAAGTGCTTCCTTCACATATCTCTAAATTTTTATTTTTCCTGAACTAAACAGGTTCTTTTTCCAGGTCAAGTGTTATCTTCTGGCAAAATACATTCAGGATAAATATGCTTCCTCAGTATACATCACACAATGCAAGCCTCCATTACAAGCTTAAACTCAGCTTCTGGCCTTGCTATTCGACATTCTCCACGCTTACTTAAATGGATCATTTAAAACACTAGAGGAAAAAAATCCCCCTGAAGGAGACAGACATTCAAGGAAAGCAATGCTGTTTCCAGCTCATGCCTTGCCTTAGAAACTTAATCTCATCTCTTGCAAAGAGCCTCAGCAGTCTCCCATTTAGAAACTTGCTCTTATTATTTTCTAAATGTGGTGATTTAATAAAATTAAATGCAAATAATAAACAATAATTAAATTACAAACTTAAAATAAATTAAAAAATACATGGACTGGCTATTTTCAGAGAAGGTAATAATAGAGAAAGCTCAGTTTCGGGAACTTCACATTCCTTTCTGTACCAGTTTCTACAATAAGTGGGAAACACTGCCCTCTAATGGTTTTATAGTGTTACATCCCTTAGTTCATATGGTGAGACACTGCCCCAGGATGCACATGCGCGTGCACACACACAATCATTCTCTCTCTGGCTCCTGGGACAGTCTGTCTTTTGTCAGACTTCGTGAAAGCTCATTGAGGGGATTAGAAGTTAGCATTTGTTGCAGTGGTTTTCAAACCTTAGTGTGCCACAGAACCACCTAGAGAAATTGTTTAAACTCAGGTTGCTGGGCCCCACATCCAGAGTTTCTGATTCCATAAATTGGCGGGTTGTGTCCAAGAATTTGCTTTCTAGCAAGTTCCTGGGTGATGTTAATTTGCCATTCCAGGGACTACACTATGTGAACCAGCACTATGCTAGGCACTTTGGCTCATTCAACGTCTCACAACAGGGTGAGGTTTTATCATCTTTGTTTTACACAGTCTCAGAGAGATCAGGTGGCTATGCTCACACAGTAGTGACAAACCCTGTCTCAAACCCAGGACGGTCTAACTCAAAACCCATCACTCTCTTCTGAACACAATGGTGTTGGGAAATGAGATTATCAGTCGCTCCGTCTATCAGGGCCTCAGCTGCTTCACGTGAGGGAGCAGGACTTAGAAGATGGTTTGGCAGGCTTCCCCTCTGAGTACTTGGAGGTCTGGACTGGGAGCCATACCCAGGCTGCATCTGGGAGTGGATGAGCTGAGAGGAAAGCGAAGAGGAACAGGGTCCTCTCTGGGTCCTGAACTGTCCTACAACGTTCAGAGAAGGGCTGATTTGCTCTGAATTCTGGAGTTCTTTGTATCAGAAACTCTAGCTAGACAGGCAAGGGCCTCCTCTCACGGGCATTTTGAGGACTTCAAAGACTAGTAGGACTTGGCAAGGACCCAGTGGGTGGCACCCTCTCTAGTCTCAGCTCAAGCCACCAGGGCAGGGTCAGGGACCCTGAAATAACTTTAAAACAGAAGTGCCTGTCCAGCTGTGTTTAGACAGAAAGGTTTTGATTAAAAAAAACAGTTTTGGGGTCACATTCTTCCACTAGGATCACACAACTGAAAAGTCTGTAGCACTCAAGCCCAGGCAGCTGTCACAGTGACGGGAAAAGAAGGGCTGTGGGAACCCACCCATTTCAAAAACAGTTTTTCTCATCTTTTGCCTTCAGCTCCTAACCCAAGTTGGTGTTTTCCTAAGGGAGCTACAAAATCTGGAGCATCCCATGGGGATGATTTGCTGGCCTCGGTCATTAGGAGGAAAGGATGTTCTCAGAACAACAGCTCTGCACGTTGATCAGCAGAGATCTTGAGGTCGTGGCCACGGCTGAACTTGGTGGAGAGCTGGACGCGGGACTCCAGCTGCTCGCTGAGTTCGTCCAGAGCCCCAGTGCAGGACTCCAGGCTCTCGGCCAGTTTTTGAATCTTGGCCTTCAGCACGGCCTGGCTAATCTTGGTGTTCCCTTCCGCCCGCCTGGGGATAAGGAAGCCACGTGAGCCAAAGAAGACGATGAAGTAGACAGAATTGTATAGGGCGATGGAGGCGTTCCTCCCGCACTGCAGCAGCTGGCGGTCTCCGCAGCCCTGCCAGCGGCAGAAGAACTCAAGGCAGCTCAGGATCTCGCGCATCTGGTCCTGGCAGCTGGCCGCGATCTCCTGCACCCTCCGCAGCTCCCGGGAGTTGCAGAAGATCAGCGAGAGGTCGGACGTGATGGTGACAGCCCCTCCGGCTGTGGCCACCCCCAGCCCCACGGCCGACGCCACCAGCGAAGCTCCCAGAGTGACGGGGCTGAGCGAGAGTCCCACGATGGCGGTCAGGGCGCCCGCGGCGCTCAGCGAGCTGCCGGCCACGTTGGCCGCCAAGGAGCGTCTGCGCAGGCGCTCCAGGCGTCGGACCACCTCGCGCAGGCGCAGCACCTGGCCGTGCAGCAGGCCTCGGCGGTCCAGCAGCAGCCCTTGGAAGCGCCGCAGCGCGTCGGGCCCCTGCGGCCTCTCCATGCCCTGCGGGAACACAGACGAGCGATCAGCCTGCAGTCTCCGAGCCAGCCCCCGCTCCCGCCCCGCTTCCCGGGCTCGCGTTCAGCGGAGCGTCCCCTGCAACGCTAGGGGAACGGGTCTGTTTGCGGTGGATCGTGGCTCAGGCTCTCCAAGAAGACCTGTTCCGGAATCCGGGTGGAGCCCCACACGTTCTCAGGACCTCATCTCTGCATAATGGAAACGGGAATGGTGCCATCTTCTGCTTGTCTCCCAGGGAACGCTAACGATGGGTTTCGTCAGCTGTGTGTTAAATAAGATTTAAACTGGGAGGGGCGTGGTCTTAGAAGGCTTCTCCAATACCGAGGCCTTCGCTCTGTTTAAGATAACACGTTGTAAGTCGTAGGTTGTACAGTTTGCAAAGCCCTTCCATTATATGAAAATTGGATCCTAGGAGTTTTGCCACATACTTTTCTCTTTCTCTAATAAATGAAAAAGGCGTCACCAAAACCTCAAAAATCGTGTTTTCTACCAAGCAGAAGAAACTAAGTTAGATGCTTGCCTGAAGCAACTCTTCTTCCTGTGGTTCTTCCAAGCTCTTTTCTTAGAATTAAACCTAAAATGAGGTTTGCACTCTTTATTCTTCTAATAGGGCTACTTGGACCTTCAGAAACATCAATCTTTGCTGGGTGCTTAATTTAAACTAAGTTACATTAAATTAGTGTCATTGTGTCTCTTTATTATGGAAAGTTTCCTTAAAAAAAAAATGAGTAATGGTTGGATAAAGTGGCCAAAATTTTTGTTCAACAACTTGTACTAAGTTGAAACCAACTGAAGATGACTGACGAACATAGTAACAAGTTGTACGTCTTGGAAAAGCACATTCATCCTAGTTGCCAAGATTCCCACCTTCATGTCCACTGTACTCTTCATTATTAGGAACGTCTTAAAAGTGGCAAATGACCCATAAAAATAGAGCATTTCAAAGCTGTGAGCTATCAGGGCAGAAACCATTATTCTTGCCTGGAAGAATCACCTGCATCAGACAGGTTCTAGAAGCAGCTGATCCTTCACAGAGCCCAGGCTAGATTCCTCATCTCCTGACTCATAGGACTTAATTTTACTTCCATGCTTCCAGAATCCAGTCTACCAGGGATAATTTTCCAGGTAAAATGAGAAAAAGTCATCCCAAATATATGGCTCCGGGTTCCCCACTTACCTTTCACTTCTGGCTGCTGTTTCTGGATGAGTGTGCTTTATAGTTCCAGAGAACCAAAGTACAATCTGAGGCCGTTTCTGGATGAGTGTGCTTTATAGTTCCAGAGAACCAATGGCTGCCCTGGGAAAGCCTTGTCTCATTCTGAGAATTTGCCATTTCCTGTCCTGACCCCTGCTGCCTTCATCCAGAAGGATGTGACATGGTGGAAAATGACCTGCTAGCGCAGCACATCCCGTATTTAGGAAATGAACATTGTGTGTTCGCTTTCCCTCAAACTCAGGAAGAGAACCGCAGGCTCTTCCCTAACTTGAAACAAGTGTGTTGTCATTCTCCCGGGGGGATACCCTGCCTTTCCTCTCCTGAGAATAGCTAATGACGTGGTAGCGAAGGCCTTCAAATGCACCCCAGGCTGACCAATTATAGTGTTTCTTCAGGCCACCATTACAAAATCGTATTTTAAAAGACAAGGGAGGGGATGGAAGACGCTCATATCTGATATAGCCACTCACACTCCACCGCTGTATTTTTAAAAGCATTGTGCATCTGTGAGTGGCTGGAGCCTGTGATCCATTTGGCATGTAACGGGTACCCTTTAGTCCTAAGAATGCAAGGCCACACCCACAGGAAGTGCTGCGTGCAGTTTTAGGCATCTCCAGCTGTGGAGAAGACATTGGAGGTCTCAGAAAGGGCACACTCCAGGCAACATGCGTCAGAAAAATCAGTGGGGACAGGCTGCAAGAGAAGCTAATTATACACTTTCAGCCGCAGCAGGGAATTGGCTTCCCAGGTTTTCATTTGAAGTAGCAACTGTAGCCCATGTAATAGGGAAATGAGTGGATTCTGTCTACAGGGTAGTGAGATATGGGCTGAAGGGCAATTATTTTGATAATTCAGCAGGGAAAAGTGAGTGTAGCTTCTGTGGACTTGGTGCAGACCAGATCAGGAACATAGCTATCTCTGGGGCATTCAGAAGTGGTTGGAGCTCATCCTGGGAATTCAGTCCTACTACAAAGCCTCAAATCCATCCATCGTCCTTCTAACACTCACCTGCAGATAAGGAGGGGCAAATTCGTTTCTCACTTGAATGAGGATTGTCTCAGCTCTCTGGCTTACCTGGAAAGCCTTAACAGCCATATCATTCTGGAACATGATGAAATCGCTCCCTTTATGACTGTACTTGGTATTTATCAACACAACAGCATTTGCTACTACTTACGATTATAGTCCTTTCAAGCTTGATTATTCTGGATTTGGTCCACTTCCAAATATTCTTGCTGCAGCTCCTCGAAGGATAACTGTTACCTCAATCTAGATGCCTCCAGTGTCTCCTTTTGATGTTAAAAGTGGAAGAATATCCTCCTCTGTCTCCATATACATGGTCACTCCAAATGGGCTGTGGGCCAGGGTAAACTGGGGAGATAGACAGGAGGGACCGTACCCCTGATTCTTCAACTGACACGTGTTCCTCTAACTTCCCTGGACATCATCTTGTATGTTTTGGGTTTAAAGGAACACAATTAAATATTTTATAGATGAGGAATATTGCTGGGATGCAGGGTCTTCTTCAGAGCCTCGATACCATAGTTCAGAGGTAGGATGAAGAATAGTTGGCATGTGTACTGACCTCAGCCCATATCTTGGAATTTGTTTTTCTCTGTGTTGAAAACCCATTTTCTGTGTATTTGCCTCTTTATGGAGGCAAAAACGATTGAGTTATTTGACAGTTTGGGCTGAAGCTTTACTGCCCACAGAAACCTGGTACTTTGGCTGGTCATGGTGGCCCATGCCTGTAATCCCAGCACTTTGGGAGGCAGAGGAAGGAGGATCGCTTGAAGTCAAGGGTTCAAGACCAGCCTGGTCAACATAGTAAGACCCCATCTTTACAAAAAATTTTTAAATTGGCAAGGCATAGTGACTCATACCTGTAGTCCCAGTTATTCAGGAGGCTGAGGCAGGAGGATCACTTGCGCCCAGGAGGTCAAGGCTGCAGTGAGCTATAATGGTACCACTGCAATGTGGCCTGGATGGTAAAGTGAGATCTCATACCCCCCAAAAAAAGTAAAAAACCACAACGAGGCCAGGCGCCGTGGCTCATGCCTGTAATCCCAGCACTTTGGGAGGCCGAGGCAGGTGGATCACGAGGTCAAGAGATCGAGACCATCCTGGTCAACATGGTGAAACCCCGTCTCTACTAAAAATACAAAAAATTAGCTGGGCGTGGTGGCACGTGCCTGTAATCCCAGCTACTCAGGAGGCTGAGGCAGGAGAATTGCCTGAACCCAGGAGGCGGAGGTTGCGGTGAGCCGAGATCGCGCCATTGCATTCCAGCCTGGGTAACAAGAGCGAAACTCCGTCTCAAAAAAAAAAAAAAAAAAAGAAGAAGAAGAAGGAAGAAATGAAGGCATTTTGGTCAAAAGTTCTGTGTGGTCAATTTCTCCAAAAAAATCTGTGGACCACATTCTCAAACTTCTTTTATAAATTATGTGTTGGGCACTTCCAACACATCACCCTGGAGAGACTACATCAAAAGCAGGCGTTGGCCCTTAAACTGGGCTTCAGATCTGTTCAACTCTTTTTTTTTTTTTTTGAGACAGGGTCTCGCTCTGTCAGGCAGGTGAAAGTGCAATGGCACGATCAGGCCTCACTGCAGCCTCAACCTCTTGAGCTTAAGTGATCCTCCTGCCTCATTTTTTGGCTTTTGGGAGAGACAAGTTCTCACTATGTTGAACTCTTGATGCAGCTGAACCGCAGCATTAGCTATAGTAGTTTGAACTCCATAAGGAAAAAGTTTGAACTCCACATTCAATGCAGGAAGAAAAGAGATAGAGAGCTTTTTAAGAATAGGAATCTCCAGGCCCCAGCCCTGGAGGTCTGGAGTGGAATCTGGGAAAATGCAGGTGCTTCCTACCTGCAGCCAGGCTTGTGAATCACGGCTCTAGGAACTGGTAGTTTTCTGACTGCTGGTCACGTGGCAGCAGAAACAGTAATTCTAGTGACAGGACTATGTTAGCTAGGTGTTTATATAGTTATTAACAACCTATTTGCTTTAGGTCCCTACTTGAAACTATCACATTTTAAACATAAAGTGATAATTATGCTCAAGGTCTCCCAGAGGCCTGGGCCACTTCCATTTTTTGAGGCTGTCAGTTTTGGGTTTTTTTTAATTTTTTTCTTTTTTTTTTTTTTTTTTTGAGATGGAGTTTTGCTCTTGTTGCCCAGGCTGGAGTGCAATGGCACAGCCTCAGCTCACTGCAACCTCCACCTCCCAGGTTCAAGCGATTCTACTGCCTCAGCCTCCCAAGTAGCTAGGATTACAGGTGCCCACAACCAGCCTGGCTAATTTTTTGTATTTTTAGTAGAGATGGGGTTTCATCATGTTGGCCAGGATGGTCTTGAACTCCTGACCTCAAATGATCCACCTGCCTCAGCCTCCCAAAGTGTCGGGATTACAGGCATGAGCCACCGCGCCCAGCCTCTCAGTTAATTTTAAAAACGAAGAAATTCTATAATGGAATATAAAAAATTGTGGCTTATTTCTCTTAATTGCAATGTAATATATCTTATAATGTTAATATTTTGCTACTCACAATATAATCATGGATTTATAAAATATTAATTCATAGTGCACTAAGTGGAAAAGTAGCATAAGTTTAAAGCTATATGATATGACTCTTCCTTTTAATCCTTAACAGTATATCTCAGTGACTAAATATAGGACCTCTTTTGGGGGCACTGAAATATAAAATTGAGGGCGGGCGTGGTGGCTCACCCTGCAATCCCAGGACTTTGGGAGGCCAAGGTGGAAGAATCACTTGAGCTAAGGTGGGGTGGGAGGATGGTTTGAGCCTGGGAGGTGAGGCTGCAGTGAGCCAATATCGCACCACTGTACTCCAGCCTGGGCGATAGAGCCCAGGAGTCCGACACCAGCCTGGGCAACATGGCAAAACCCCATCTCTACAAAAAATACAAAAATTAGCTGGGCGTGGTGGCCTGCACCTGCAGTCCCAGATACTGGGAAGGCCAAGGTGGGAGGATCGCTTGAGCCCCGGAGACGGAGGTTGCAGTAGGCCAAGATTGCCCCACTGCACTCCAGTCTGGGCAGCAGAGCCATACTCTGTCTCAAAATAAATAAATAAATAAAATTGAAACAACTCATGAATGTGAGGTTTAGTCCAAAGGTCTTGCAGACTTTCCTTTGTCATCTGTTCTAATATGTACATTCACCAAAATAAAAATAACTTCGACCAGGCACGATGGCTCATGTCTGTAATCCCAGCACTATGGGAGGCTGAGGCAGTTCCTTGGTGGTGTGGGCCTGTAGTCCCAGCTACTTGGGACGCTAAGGAGGGGTGGGAGGGTGGTTTGGGCCTGGGAGGTGAGGCTGCAGTGAGCCCATATCGCACCACTGCACTCCAGCCTGGGCGACAGAGCCAGACTTTGTCTCAAAAAAAAAAAAAAGGTAAATTAAAATAATAACACGCCAGGCACGGTGGCTCACGCCTGTAATCCCAGCACTTTGGGAGGCCGAGGCAGGTGGATCACGAGGTCAAGAGATCGAGACCATCCTGGTCAACATGGTGAAACCCCATCTCTACTAAAAATACAAAAAATTAACTGGGCATGGTGGCGCGTGCCTGTAATCCCAGCTACTCAGGAGGCTGAGGCAGGAGAATTGCCTGAACCCAGGAGGCGGAGGTTGTGGTGAGCCAAGATCGCATCATTGCACTCCAGCCTGGGTAACAAGAGCGAAACTCCGTCTCAAAAAAAAAATAAAATAAATAAAATAAAATAACACATATTCCCCTGAGGATTTTTGCCCATGATTTTTGTGAATTTCACCAGAATGTAAATGCTCTAGAACATAGTCAAGCTCTCATAGTTGCTCACTGAATTTAAAGAAAAATGTTTTGTTCACTTAAAGAAATATTATTTTTATAACAACTTTGTAAGAATTTAACATAAAATTTTCTCTTAGAATCTACCATCTGGGATAACTTAGAGTATTTATTCTGCAGAAGACTTCCAGGATGTCTAGATTGTGTAGAATCTCAGTATTATTGTCAAAAATTCATGAAACTGCACAGGAAAATAAAGACCCAACAAGCACTGCCCTCGAGCCATTTTCATTTCTCCAGATTGCCCTCCAGTCTTTGTTAGTGTACACACACATCCTTAATCACTAGTGTTTAAACACTAGCCTGTGTTCTTTTTACTACTTAACGTTCCT